CATTAGAATCAACTATGGACAAATTTTTAAAATGTTGCCAACTGGTTTCATGCTGTTGGCTGTGAAGCAGCATTTGGGAACCACTTATCTAGGGGAATCTCTGGGACCCCATCTCAGTCTTGCTGCCCCAGCGCCAACCCTTAGGGGCGTTGACAATCAAGGAGACTTGGGTTCAGAACATGGTTTGAAACCAGTGGCCATTCCTTCCAGAGAGAGCAAGGCCCTTCCCAATGAGGACAGAGGAATGGTGAGTGGAGGGAAGTCTCGATAAGGGAAGGTGGCAACTCTGTCCCCTCAGGTGTCACAGGAGAATAACTGGTCCCTTTTTGCATCTGTCACTCAAAATTGCTCAAAATTGTCACTCAAAAAGAAGCTGGGCCTTGCTGTCCAGGGGGCTCTCAGCGTGTCTTCACATCCCCCATCCTCACCGCACACTCCCAGGATCGGCTGCAGTCAGCTTCACTGGGGGGTGGGCTTCTCCAGCTGTTCTGGGCTGGTGGTGGAGGAGGAGTGACAAGATCCTATAGCCCCTAAGGCTGAGCAGCAGAGTCTGGCTGGCTGTGTGGTTCCCAGCTATTGTCCAAGGCAACGACATTTTAGGGACTCTTCTAGCCCAGAGCTGGCACTTCTCTCAGTCACCTGGGCTTCTTGCAGGTATCTGGTCAGGGCCATCCCATTCAAGGAGGAATGTCCCAGTCCTGGATATTGAATGGCCTGCTCACCAAACCCCATGGGTCAGGGGGACTGGCTGGAGTCAACCTGCAGCTTGGAACTAGCTGGAAAGACAGGTTGATATCAAACAAAGAACCTAGACTTGTAGTCAGATCTTGCTTCACCACTTACTACCCTGCACAAGCCACTCACTCTTTCAGTGTATCCATGTTCTTACCTGTAAAATGGAAATCACCGTCCCTACCTAATAGGGGTGAAGAAGCATTGCATGAGCTAGTGAAAGAGTGTCACATGGGTTAGCACCAGGCCTGGCGCATAATAGGCATTCAAGTGTTCGTAGTTATTTACCCAGGTCCTGTCTCTGTAGCACTGGTGAAGACTCAAGGGGACAGGTCTGGAAAGTGAAGAGGAGCCATAGAGGAGAGCTTTTGGCCATCAAGGATCATTCCAGAGACATAGCGACGCTGAATGAGGAACCTGGAAGAGCCCTGCTTCCCTTGAATGCTCCTGCCCCTCGCCACCCTCATCCAGGGTGTCATGGTTCTCCGGCCTCAGGAGTCCCCTTCCTCTGGGTGCGCCCTGGCTACAGCCCATTCCCAAGTCCTCTTGCTCAATCTGAGGGAGGCCTGAGCGCCATCGTGCCAACCATCTGGTGCCAGCAGGAAGTTCTGGGGCTGGGAGAGTGGGTGGAGCTCAGAGATTGTCAGGATTCCTGGGCCTCAATGGGGAGCCCGGGGACTTCTTGGCTGTCCCCCGGCACCTGAGGAAGAGTAATGTCATGCTGCAGGAAAGGACAGATTCAAGCAGGTGGGGCACAGAGAATAGAGGCAGGTAGGATTGGTGGGTGCCTGGTTTTCACAGCAAAATGACCAGAGCCTCAGCAGGACCCAAGGTGAAAATCCAGGAGAAGTTCTCAGTCTAGTTTTTAAGGTGGGGAACGGAAGCTGCAGCCCCGCGGCCCACATTCAGGAGTCACCCAGGAAGGGGAGTCTATTCCTCTCAGAGGTGCTGTGAAAAGGGGAGGCTTTCCCATCTTGCGGGTCAGCAGGCCTGCTGAGTCTCTCCAAAGGTAACTGAGTCTAGATGATGCTGACCTTGCACTGGCTTCCCACTGCATTTAAATAAAACCCCTGCCCACCAGACCTGGCCTTACCTGCTTCCTGGCCTCATCTTCCACATTCTCTCCTTTTCTCGCTCAGCCACACTAGTTTTCTTTCTGTTCCTCAGCCACGCCAGCCTCACTTCTGCCTCAGGACCTTGGCATCTGCTGTTTCCTTTGCGTGGGGTTCTCTTCTCCCTGACTTCACAGTTGGTTGCTTGTCTCCATTCGGGTCTCAGTTTACATGTTATCTCTTCAGAGATGCCTTTTGTGACCACTCTAATGAATATGTTGCCCTCCCCCCACCTCCCTCATTCTCTATTCATTTACCCTGTTCTCTGGCCCTTAGAATCCTTATTACTCTCTCAAATGATCTCATTTATGTGTCTCATTTCTGGTTTAGTGTCTGTCTCCTTTACGAGAGCAGGATTTTATTTTGCTCACCTAAGTATCCCTAGGGCTTAGAACAGTGGCACATAGTAGGTGCTCAGTAAAGGTTTGCTGAAAGGCACCAGAGGCAATCCTGCTTAGAGGACTTGGAATGTCATCTTGACCTTGTTACAGCACAAAGGGGCCCTGTCCAAGACAGGTCAGGACCCAGACTGAAATGCACCCATTAGAATGGACAAGTAGCCCTGCCGGGCATGGCTCAGCAGTTGAGCATCGACCTAGGATCCAGGTGATCGGGGTTCAATTCCCGGTCAGGGGACATGCCCTGGTTGCAGGCTCGATCCCCAATGACTCTCTCATCATTAATGTTTCTGTCTGTCTGTCTCTCTCTCTCCTTTCCTCTCTCTGAAATCAATAAAGATGTATTTTTTAAAAAAGAACGGACAAGTATACGTCCAGCCACTGAGAGGTGACCCAGGTCACAAGGGCCAAATGACACCACAACAGCAGTTCATGTCCTGGGCAAGGAGTCAGCATATGAAGCCTGAGACAAGCCCCTTGTGCGCGCCACGGGGAGAAGCATAGCTGCAGGGGTTTCAGCAGGCAGTTCACCAACAGACCACAGCCGGCTCTCAGCCCCTTTAGTGAGATTCAGGAGCTGGACAGGGAGGGGACAACTAGGCAGAAAATGGCACTGTGATACTAGGCAGACCCCAAAGACTTGGATACAGTCACAAGCCAAGTAATGCGAATCAGCCTGGGGGCTAGGCTGAGACTGAGGCTGGGTGGGGGTGAGGTGGGGGATTAGCCAGTGTGGGAAGAAGAGGGTTGCAGGGACAACCTGGAAGGACCAAACAGGCTATTTTTTGGGGGGTGTGAAGTGCATCTGGGATGGATTACTCTTTGCTGGCAGGGGGCAGGGGGCAGACCTGCATTCACCTACCAGAGAAATGTGCTAAGGGGCTGTCTGCCTAAGACCATCTCCCCACAGACCTCTGGCAACAAAGGCACCTTAAAAAGCATCCCCAAGTAAAGAGATCTACCTGGGGCTATTGTAGATATGCCCTTATAGCCATTTAGTTACTTTAACCTTTGGACAAGGGACTTTCACATACCTAGGACCAGCCACATAAAAAATACCTACAGGTCCCGGCCAGGCATGGCTCAGCGGTTGAGCATCGACCTAAGATCCAAGAGATCGCGGCTCAGTTCCCAGTCAGGGCACATTTCCAGGTTTCGGGCTCGATCCTCAGTTGAGGGCATGCAGGAGGTAGCCAATCCATGACTCTCTCATCATTGATGTTTCTATCTCTCTCTCCCTCTCTCTTCTTCTCTCTGAAATCAATAAAATATATTTTAAAAAATACCTACAGGGTTCTTACTGGAGAGCCACCAAAACTCCCATTTAGCTCAAAAGGCAACAAACTGTCCTGCCTGGTGTGCAGACCTCCCCACGCTGGGCTCTCCCACTAAGGTTGCTCAGCTGTCAGTAAGCCAGACTCCTAGCTGTCCTGTTCAGCCCCCAAGGTCATTCCTGCCTCCTGACTTTGCCAATCCTCACCCCTTTAACAATCCAAACGTTACACTTTATTCAACATACAAAATAAGTCCAATTCTTTTTCAGTGACCCCTCCTTAATGTGGAGTACATACCGCTCTCAATTCCCATAGCACAACCACGCACTTGGTGATACAGTTGCCTCATTTTCGTTCCCAAGTAGTTTCAGTGTGTGTGATAGTCCCACAACTAGACCAAAGGACCTTTGAACACAGGGGATGAATCCTCTTCTTGTTATGATTGCTCCATGGCACACAGCAAAGATCCAGGGGCATAACAGATATTTGTTAGCTTGAGCCCTAACCTCACTAAGAAAGGGGGACAGAAACACTTTTGGTGTCAGACACTGCTTAGTGGAATATGGGAAGAAGGAGCTAACTATTTGGAAGCAACTGGGCCCGTTGGGCAACATAGACTTTTCTTTTTTAAACTTTGGGAAATAAGGAGAGAGTAGTCTCCTCTAGGGAACCTAGGAAATACTGATGAGTCAACATCTTTCGAGTCTTCCCTATCTTATTGGCACTCTAGAAACCATATCTGGCCTGTATCCCACCCCCTGCGGGTGTTTCTGCCCCCTGATGACCCTGAGTCAGATAACAAATTCGTCCTGAAAAAGTGACTCAATGAGCTCTTCAGGTGGCACAGAAGGCTGATAGGGAATGTGCCTTGGCACAGACGTATCCTAGGAGGGCAAGCTGCCTCTTCTACTCATGAAAGTCAGAAACGTCTTCCCAGAGGAAAGCAAGACATGAAGGCATGCGGTAATCTATACAAATTTTATTTTAAATCAATTTGTATGGAAACAAGCAGGTGTCAGCGTTATGCAGGCACGGGAAAAAAAAAAAAAAAAGGGAAAGAAAAAAAACCCTAGTGATAACTGATCTTGTATTTACACCATTTGGTTTCAACAGGGACAGGAAGTTTTACTGTTAGCTTCCTGTGGGAACTCCAGTTTCTGCACCTTCCCCTGCTGCCTCTCAGCATCACGATAGAGCAGGGATTTCTGCGCCTTCAATCGGCAAGCCAGGCACATGAAAATCGACTCCACGTTCTGGCTCTCTTTGGGGTCCTTGGCCGATGTCTCGAACAAGAGCATGTTGTGGGCATCGGCAAATTTCAGGGCTAAGTTGGAGGGCACCTGGATCTGTTCCGTCAAGTCACACTTGTTGCCCACAAGCACTTTCGGTACTAGCGGGGGCACGGCATGGCCGTTGCATTCTTGGATCCACATTTTGAGGTTGGTGAAGGATGTCATCTTGGTGACGTCATAGACAAAGACCACTGCATGCACGTTGCGGTAGTAATGCTCGACCATGCTTTTGCGGAAGCGTTCCTGGCCCGCTGTGTCCCACACCTGAACCTGAAAGATACAAAAACCCGTGTTTGGAGTCAGGAAAGGAAACATGAAGTGAGAAGAGAAAACCTGATGCTGTGGCATTATAAAATGGAGGTGACAAACCCTGACACAGGAAGTGGTTCTTTGACAGATTGGCAGAATGGACTTATGAACGTATAGAGAGATGCTTCTTTCAGGGTTTATAAAGTTTTTCTTAAGGTTTTTTTGTTGAAAAACTGGGATGTACATTGATCAACTTTTCGGAGGGCAACCTGGCAGTATTATCAAGAACCTTAACAATGTTCAAAACTCTTTGAGCTTATAATCTCACTTCCGAAAGTCTATACGAAAGCAATAGCAAATATGTGGTCAAAATTTTGTACAAAGGCCTTAATCACCATATTATTTATAGTTTTAAAAAACAAGAAACAACCTAAATGCTCAGTAGGAGAGGAATAGCTAAAGTTTATGTATATATCTATACAGTGGGTTATTATGCAGCCATTAAAATATTTTCAAAGAATAAATGGTAGAGGAAGTGTGCACAAAATATAAGTGAAAGCAGAATATGAACATTTTCATATGCTTTTGTCCCAATTATAAAAAATATTAAACTGCCCTAGCCTGCTTGGCTCAGTGGTTAGAGCGTCGGCCTTTGGACTGAAGGGTCGTGGGTTCTGTTTCAGCCAAGGGCACGGACCTCGGTTGCAGGCTCCAGCCCCAGCCCTGGTCGGGGCGAGTGTGACAGGCAACCAATCGATGTGTCTCTCGCACATCAATGTTTCTCTCTCTCTCTCTCTCCCTTCCACTCTCTCTGAAAAGCAATGGAAAAAAAATATCCTGGGGTCAGGATTAAAAATATATACATTAAACATAGTCATATTCATAGGAAAGACTGGAAGTGTATACACCAGAACATTAATAATTATTTAAGGGCAGTAGGACTATAGGTGGCATTTATTTAGGTCTTTTTGTTGTTGTTGTATTTTCCAAATTTTCTACTATAAGCATTCATCACTTTGTTTTGGGATTTTGTTTTCATTTTGCTGGGTTTTTGTTTTTGTTTTTTTTTTGGATGACTTTTTAAAGAAAACAAAGTATTTAAATCTCAGCTTGTAGCTCAGTTTAAGTTCACTTCTTTGTTATGTAAAAGGTAATTTAGCTCACTGGATTTTTCTTCTGCATCTTACCTTTTGGGACAAAGGCCAAATTATGAAGGAAAAATGCTGATATAAGTAACATATACAAAGACACAACTCCCAAGGGACACTCTGGATTCGATATACATTCAACCCAATCTATTTCCCTTTATACATCCAGAGTCTTGGACAAGAAAAATTCATACTCAGAATAATGGTCCCAAGGCCCTATACAATTCTCAGTTATCAAAGATAATTTTATTATGGCCACTAATTGACTACTATGGCTCTTAAAACTAAGTATAGCCTTTCTTTGGAGTTATCAGTCAGTCCGTATAATCTAGTAAATATAATTGAATCTCCTTGCTGAGTGAAGATCTTAAAAGGGCCCCAGAGTCATCATTCTAAACATCAATTTTCATTGTCCAAGCTCCCCTTCATTCCCTGTATGGACATGGCCACCACATGCCTTTCACACGACTTTCAGATTCACCCATTCTTTTTTTTTTAAATATGTTTTTATTGATTTCAGGGAGAGGAAGGGAAAGGGAGAGAGAGATAGAAACATCAATGATGAGAGAGAATCATCGATCAGCTGCCTCCTGTACGCCCCTGACTGGGGATCGAGCCCACAACCCGGGCATGTGCCCTGACCAGGAATCGAACCCCGATCTCCTGGTTCATGGGCTGACGCTCAACCACTGAGCAACACCAGCCAGGCAGATTCGCCCATTCTTGTATCTCGATTTTCATGTCCCTAGGCCAGACTCTCCTCTCCTCACTTCTGGACTACAGTGAAGTTTTTGGATTCTAGATGTCTCTACTCCTGTGCATCCTGCATACTGCTTTCAAACTTGCCTTCCTAAGTCCCTGCTTTTATCAGCATGTCATCCATCTCATCAGGAAATCATGTTAGCCTTCTTCTGCATCAAATGGAAAATTTTGTCGGCCATAATTCGACCTCACTCAACCTCATTTTAAACTGCTCAGCTACACCTGGTTCATTCCCTCCTCTGTACCATTGGTCCTGCTAGTTCACCCGTGCCCTACAGAATCGGTTTCCCCCTCAGGACCCTACTCAGATCTCACCCATTCTTCAAGGCTTGGCTCAGGCCTCCACCATCTTCCTAAAACCTTCCCTAACGTCTCTTCAATTCTCTTTTCTTAGGTGTTTCTACTGCACTTTGAGTTCATACCACACCATTCAGAATATATTTGTTTGTTCTCTAGTTTGTTTTCTAGATGCCTTTGGCATCTCTCCAGCTAAACTGCAACCGTCTTTTTGTGCATCAGATCACTCGTCATTACAGTTGTCATCAATATTGTCATCATTATCAAAGAGCAGTATTGGCCTGAGCTACAGAAACTACAAGTAGTCTGGCATCCTAGATATCTGCCAGGGCGATTTCAGAGGGAATATTCAACTTTGGTAATGCACAAAAACTTAAGTCCTCGAAGCCTGATTCGCTTTGGCAAGCAGAGCCAGGAGAGATTTTCATTTCTTCCACCGCTCTGGTGCTCCGAGCAGGAAGCAGGAGAAAGCAGGCCAGGAGAGGAATGGAGGTCAGTGGGAAGAGAGAAGATACAGCACAAGAATATCCTGATCCCCAACTCCCCGCCCCCCCATAGCCCTAACTCTTGCCTCTGAGTAAGGCTGAATCCCTACCAGCCCTCAGGCATGTGGCAGATGCTTTAACACCATGAGCCCAGGACTCTAAAAA